ACTCAGATATGATAGGAGATACGAGACATTTGCTAACTGGAACACACACAATGCATCCAGTGCAGTGCAGGTGCAGGTTAGCGCAGATACGAACGGTACGAACTTGTCCGAACTCCGAACCTAAGCGACAGACAAAGAGAAGAGACAGCAAAGAGAATGAGAAAGCGTGGCGAAAGTTTGCACGATGAAAGGAGTAGCCGGAGTAGGGCCAGAGCCTGCGCACAGCCGGAATGGCCAGGTGGTCGGTTTGAGGACAATGAAGACGGAAGCCAACGAGAATTACTCCTTCCACTTACGTATACTATCGAACTGCATCCGTGTGTTCCAAGCTTTGCTCAAGTTCGGCTTAATAGAGAGAGAAGGCGAAATTTCCTCTCTGCTACTAACGATACTCTACAACCGATCTCAATATTGACAATATACATTAAAACAGATTTTTAAAGTACATCATACAAAAGGGCCTATCTGGATAAGGGGGTCAAATGTGCCCTTGATTCGAATGAAGCGCCGTCATAATCAGAAAGAAACCGAAGGACACAGTCAGTTGTCCTCTTTTCCCTCCCCCAATCTCTGCTTGAGGACACCGAGAAGATTATAGTTTCTGGATTTCTGTTTATAACTTAATCCTTAACATCGAAGAGAAAGTATAATCTCCTCGGTGTTCTTAAGCACAGATGGAGGGTGAGAAAAAAGGACAACTGATCGTGCTTCCTGGTTTTTTCCGCGTCATGGTTATTAGCCTCTTTTAACTAATTTATGATTCTCTTAAAGGAAGAAATCGAGACTAGAGTAGATATAAGTAATAAATTGTACTGTATCCAAAAGCCCTTTCTCCTTCTTTCATTCCTCCTTTTCCCCACCTTCGAGCATATATCGATCTTCTTAAAGGTAACGAAGTTGTGATACTCCTAGGAGACCCCATTGCCTTGTACTAAATCGTGTCCAGTTATCGATGCAACGCGAAAGAGAAACGGTAACGCTGCGTCAAGCACTTCGTTCCACGGCTATATTGAATAAAATCAAGGAACGGAGAAATAAAATACCAGAATTTAAATAGAGATGATAAAGTATCGATTAAGTTACCAATTTCTACACAGTGCTGTAGTTTTATAGATAAAATGTGTGAGACGTGAAAACGAACATTCTTGTTGTGTATTTCTTCTAATCTAAGAAAAATAAAAATAAAGTATAACAGAGATTCTATAAGACACATATTAGCGACGTTACTTTTTCATGATATTCGTACCAATGATTCATGCTACTAGTTTGAAGACCTGAAAAGGAGCGGATATGTATTCATTCTTCTTCTCTCTTCTTTCGATGGACGTAACGAAAGCAAACGCACTAAGTAACGGTATAGTGTTTGCTAAAACGGAATCAGAATGTGCTAATTTACCTTCATAGGTATTAGTATTAACGCTTGGCAGAGACCTAGATCTTGAAGCACAGTACGTGTAGATATGGTTTTGAAACAAACATTTTGCAGAGATCGGGTTTTAGAACGCTGCTGCATTATTAATACGAAACTGTCCTGGTTTTGAAACGCGATCGCAGTTGGGACTCCTTTTAAACAAGATTTCTAGATCTGTGTTGAGCGAAACATAAATATGCTTGGAATCGCTTGAAAGAGAGAAGAAAACGCGCGAGGCGCAAGAAGCGGAACACAGGAGCGGCACTTTTAACAGGACGTCCGACACGCGTCTCTAGTCGCGTAACACATCCTCTAACGTGATCACATATGTATGTACTACATATATATGTATGTGGTTTTACATACCGCGCATCGGACGCGTAAATATATATGTACGTACAATACGTATCTAGATATCGTTCGTCTGTTGTGACCAAATAGACGAGTCGGCCGACTTTCGTGTCGCGCTCTTATTCCCGTTCGAAAGATCGAATGCAAAGGGACCTCGATTTGTGAGAAAAAATTCGATTGGAGGACAACGATGGAAGTGATATCAACGTGCGAAGTGTTACACTAAAAAACTCGATCAGAAAATGGTCTTCGATTCCGTGTCCGAAGAGCAGAAGAAACAATTCTTTAGACAGAGTTATGCCGCTCATTTACCTGGGTAAGATTCACTTTTATGCGACAACTTACGTAATTTGATACTGAAGTAAATTCCCGTATATCAAATAGAATATTAATGAAATATCCAGAAAAGTATTTAGCAGACTGCGGATGTTTATTTAAAATAATTTAAAGAAATTCAAAGTTTCCAAAGTTAAATACAATTTATACTATTTAGAGGAGAAAACAGTCATGTGCATTTAGTTTCTTTTATTTGTAAAAGCAGGAATTTGCATAAATATCCGCAGTTTAATAATTAAAGTTAATAACGAAAACAGTTTTGAGAAACAGTGGAGCCTATAAATATTCCATTGAAGTGCCATTGAAAAGTATTAATTAAATTTGCAATATTCTCATAATATGTACTAAAATACATATGTATATGTTCGCTGTAACACTGTTCGGATTTGGAACGGGTTTACAGTACAAGTTGGATAATAGAACCAATTTGAAGTTGATCAATGTCAATTAAAAGTTTGATTTTAAAGAGATTAGATAACAGGGCGTATGCAATAATGATCGGTGTACTGCCTACTATGTATTGCTTTGGCGCGAAAAGTTGCAGCGATCGATGAGATCAATTTAACGCGCAACACGATGCGAAGATAGGGGAGCGTAAGTTTGAACTGGTACCGATCCTAGTACCGAAACAATTTGTGTATCGTGATTTTATCGCCTGGCTCACTTTCGCTTCTTCGCTTAACTGCCGCTTATCGTGTTAACGATTCATTTGTTTCATTTACCGCAAGTTGCGCGCGTTGATCGATCGACTCGCGAACGAGATCGGAAGTTTCATCAAAATTTCGGTAACAATTTTGGTAGTCAATAACTATTAAGCACTGAATCGTTTGCGATCTCCTGTTCCCATTGTATGGAATTCGGTCGATCCCTCCGTACCTCAATAGAACATTTTAACTTCGAACGCATAAAACTCTAAATACTTGCGAGTATTTTAAAGACTAGAAAATTGCTGAACTTAAAAAGAGTGAAACCACGCTCTTTAGTGGATCCGTCGTTCATTCTTTTAGTTATACCGGACACTGTCCTACCCTTAAGTTTCGAGTTGGGAAACGATTCGGAGCGTGTACCGAAGAGATTATGAAGGTAAGAACGATCCTGTAGTACGTAGAGGAATTTAAATGTGCGTAAAGCAAAAGGAGGTGGAAAAGAATAGAAAAGCGAGGAAATTCGTTTGTAAAGTAAACCAAAGCTTCCATGAGAGTGTTGCATCATGCAGGAATTACTTGAAAAGAAAATCCTCAAGACAGGACCTTACAGACCCAACTCCGGGAGGAACACACGCGAGGACTCTACGATTTCCTATGAAAATGATCCTAAGCCGGATTGGAGGAACGAAACGCATTACATCAAGACACCGCCATATATCTTAGGATACACTGGTAAGTATTGAATTCTGTAAATGGTTTCCTCTTTCTCTGACTTCTAACAAATGAGTGATCACATTTCGTCTGCGTCATATTATAATATTAATAGCATTTTACATTAGTAATTAACACAAAGAAACAACATTATAAGGTGACATAGAATTAAATTAAAACATGATCTTATGCGAGTTAAAACTTTCGTAAGATCGTATCGTATTATGATCGTCCTATTTCACGTGACTGATGTTCCGCTTAATCGTTTGATCGTAGGATATATTCCTGGATTTAACAGCACGTATGGTTTATCTTTTATGAGAGCTGTGGAAGAGGGTGCCAAGCAGTGGCGTGGAAATCAAAATAAATTAAGGGCTCGTAGAGACGCCTTACGAACTCAGATCGAAAAAACTTCTTACCCCACAGTGAGACCTGACAACATAACTCTTCAAATCGAGCATGATAAAAAACGACCGACCACTTTCCGTACGTACAAAGGACAGTTCATTCTTAGCGCAGGAAGTAATTACTAAAAGTGATAAAAATATAAAACCGCAACATCTGAGCTTCAAATATTAAAAGAGCGAAGGAAGGGATCGTAGGTGTTAGCTTGGAATCGATTTCATTACAGATTATGAAATCACTCCCGAGAGACCACCGATCGTGGGGTACACGGGTCATATTCCAGGCGCAAAGGGAGAGAGCGCACTTTCAAAAAGATACGCTCAATCCGTGATCAAGGGATTGAAGTCAGTGCGAAAGGAACGCGAGCAAAGACATAGCAGATTAAAAGATGCCGACGCAGTGCAGAGGGTTTTAGACGTGGCTCATCTCGACGAGCTTGCTCGTGCATAATTTCCGAAACTCTATTTTTTTAAATCCTTATGTCTAACGAGATAACGCGTCGATAAAATGACGACAATCTATTTAAACGAGCGCGTTACCTAACTTAAATAATATTTATTTTTTCTCTTAATTTACTTTTAGTTTTGCACTGTTCACGCGGTGATTTCAAATAAAATTTTCTTTCTTCTTTTCCATTTTTTTCTCCTTCTTTAACGTTGCACAAAATAATAATCTAAACTTGCGTTCGTTCGGATCAATGATTCTTGAAAATATTTCTTAAAGAAATATTTTTAAAGAATGACAGAATTAAAAACAATGCTGTTTTCACTTCTACGAAATGGAAACACAGCGAACATTNGATAGGATTAAACAAAAAGTTCGTTTTTCATTCGAAAATTATTTATTAATCAGTATAAAATTTCCATGTACAAAAGGACGCAATGAACAAGTATATGTAGCGTTATTTCTTATGAACAGTATTTATTTTTTACCTGGCAATCTACTTAATCTATCTAATTCCATTTGTACAGCTTTCTTCCAGTATCCCATGGTCAATGTACTTGATCCATACGACAAAGATAATAGTCTAGCTAATACCATTAACGAATGCAAACGGTCAACGTTTTTATTTATTTCCTTTAACCGTACAAAATCGTTTTGAATTTCCTGAAGGAAAACGTGATTCAGAGAATATAGACAACTTACTAATAAAATATAATAAGCAGGAAATAATATGAAATACCTTCATGACTTCATCGTCGTCGAATTCGAACTTCGTGTCCCGTACAACTTCTAAGTATTGTCGAATATTGGATAATCGATCTTTGTCCTTCAAATAATGGTCAGTCACTTCCAATATTTGCGGATAAATATTTTCAGATTCTGGCTCTACTTTTAAAACGACTTGTGTCGGGCACTAAAATTAATACAAGTTACTCAGCGTTTACTGTGCAATTAAAGTAATCGATAATCATTGTAATAGAGACTCGTACGTACTGGGATGAAAGACTTAGTTTCTGATAAAATTAAAATCGGAATATCCGATTCGTATTCCAGTTTGTAGTATTTGAAATCGTATGTGACTTTCTGAAAATTAATTAACTCGCATATCGCGTTATAGTTTTCCCGTCCAGCTTGTGAAATCTGACCTGTGGTCAATCCCGTTTCGTCTATCACAAGATGAGTGTTATTACTAAGCTGGAGCACACCACTCGTTAATCTGTTACCCTCATAATCTTTCCTGACGATGCAAAATACACAAGTACATCGAAAATTCCGTAAAAAGAATTAAATGTTCGCATGTAAAAATTGTATCTACTTACTTGGGTGACAAAGTCAAATCGTTTAAATTTTCCAAAGTGATTTCTAACAAGTGACTTTTCCTTGCGAGCAAAGTTAAAAACTTGTACAAATCCTTTGTGAACTGTTTATATTTGAGGAAGGGAAAATGCGTTATATTCAGTGGATAAGTACCAAGGCAGAAGAAGTCTTTCCTCATGTAACTGAAATGAAATAGTACTTTTGTGAAAATGTTGAACACGGCTTTTCTAATTAAGTGATAAACGTAGATTAAATGTTCTTACATTGATGAAAGCATGTGACAAATTAGGAAATCTGCAGCCAAAGAATCTCCAAATAGAAGTTGACTTAATATTAAATGAAGGTCACTTCTTATTGACTGTACTTTACACATTATCTGTGGAACAATTTTAAGATCTTGCTTGGTTGGACGTATTATTTTTATAGCATGTAATCGAGGGACAAGCGAGGCCGGAGGATGATGCACGGCGTTTTCAGCCTCCGACATAGTTTCATCCGAATTATCAACACCATTTAAAAGTGGATCCAAAGATATGAAACCTACTACTTCAATCGTTTCATTCAATTTCAAAGGCGTATCATCATATATCTGTAATTGAATGTTGTAAAAGTATATACAAAAATTTATTTTACACGATTCATTATATTGAAAAATTCATTACCAACCTTCACAATACAAGCTTTGCCATCAGGTATAGAAATTGGAAAATTAAGTATGTATTCTTTTGAAAATATATTTTGCTCTGCAACGTCTGTTTCTTTGATATTTCCTGCCCTCGAAGTTCTTTCCTTCTTTCGCGTTGACTCCAAACTGTTACTCTCATTGAGATCATCATCGTCCAGACTTCTTTTATTAATATTCATTGCTTTTGTGATTAAACAAATTGACTGATCAACTTTCTCTCTTGCCCAATCGTTTAAACCAGGAGTCGATATTACAATGCATGTATGTCTCTCTGAAGTTTGATTCTTCTCTGATTCGAACAAGATCTTTTCACCTGGCTTGGAAATATGACAGTGAAATCATTGAATTTAAAGAAAACATATTACATTTAAACTGTAATGTAAAATAAAAGATTTGTCGGCAGTTTTATACATGAAATAAGCTGTACTATAAACATCTCACACCTGAAACTACCAGAAATTTACTATAGGCTCCCACGTTCACTTCAACGTATCATGCAAGTCAAACATGAATAAAGAACGTGTTAAAGAGCCATGTAAGTATAAGAGGAAATGGTAATACAATAATTACCAAGTATTTGGCAGAATCTGCGTACATTCCACATCTGACCTCACACGTTTCAGTTTGAGTATTTTTCACTTCATATTGTTGAAAGTAGTATTCAGGATCATACATGTCCTGAATCATGCCTTCAAATCTAACAAGCTGCCGGTCTCTGAACTCGTCGAGGGATCCACTGTTTATTAAAGGAATTTCTTTCAATGCCTCTGGATCTTCCAAGATCGCAGTGCATTGCGAACGGTTTTTGATGAAATAATCGGAAGTCCAATCCGTAAATTTAAGCAAGGCTAAAATAATCCATTTAATTCTCCAATTAACTGCCTTTCAATTATTGGTTTGGTGATCGAACATTTGATATTTTTTGTTAAAATTAAAAGTACGTATTTACTTACAAGTCATTATAAAATTATAGTTCTGATCGATAATTTATTAGTACGGCATTACTTTATACCGCATTGAACAACAAAACTGGCACCGGTATTGCTAAAATAAACGGAAAGCTGGCGGGAAATCATCCACCGAACCTCACTAAACTGCACTCTGCACCTGCACTCTGCACTCTTTGCAGTCTGTACTCTGTAGCTGTTGGTTGTTGGTACTTGGTCTCTCGCTCAGGTCCAGACAAGTTCGTATTTGTACCGTTCGTGTCTGCGCTAACTTTCACTCTCTTTGCTCCTTTGTTGATCAGCATTACAGTAGAGAGAGGATACAGATACAGAACGGTGTTACGGGTATTGCGGAAGGAACAACAATGGACATTATAATTGATACTAAAGGTCAAACGGATTTGGCGACGAGAAATCAATTGATAGAAAGTGACGAAGATGACATAGATTTTGAGAATACGGGTAACTATACTTCGCGGTACGCGTACTGAGGTTAGAAACGTTCACGATGCTTCATTCTGTCTGTTAATTTGGTAGAAAAGCGATCATCGAAATTCTTCGACATAGAAGAAAATCTGATCGAGAATGAAATTGGAACGAGGAAGGTCAGGCGTAACGTGACTAAGGACATCGATCTCGAGGAGTTCGAACGAGATATGGGTTGGACGAGAAAGAACAAGAGGAGGAAACCCGTGACCGCTCCAAAAATAACTAATTTCAAACAAGAGTTGACGGCGGTAGACAAGATACTTAAAAAGAGTATTATAACACCCGGCTTCGAGCAACTAGAAGTGGTACCCCCGTACGATTTGAGTAAGAGACAACTGCAATATATGAGGCGCAAGGAGCGTTCCAAGACCAAAGGCAAAGACTGGTTTAATATGAGTGCCCCGGAGTTGACGCCAGAGGTGAAACACGATCTTCAAGTTCTAAGGATGAGATCGGTGTTGGATCCGAAACATTTCTACAAAAAGAACGATCTCAAAGCCTTACCGAAGTACTTCCAAATTGGCAAAGTTATGGATTCGCCGTTAGACTATTATTCTGGCCGACTTACGAAGAAGGAGCGTAAGAAGACGATCGTGGACGAACTCATGGCTGATGCTCAGTTCGCTAAGTATAACAAACGTAAATATAAGGAGATCATCGAAGAAAAACAAAAGACACATTACAAGGCTCACAGGCATGCGAAGAAGCTCAAGGGGAAAAAAGGAAAGAAGAAATGATGTATAATAAACTCGATTTAATCAGAAAAATATATTTGGAGGCGTAAATTCAATGCAGCCCTCCTGTAACTTCGATAGACGCTCCGTTGATATAAGAACTTTTGCCAGACGCTAGAAACGTAATAACTTCCGCCACTTCCGCTGGTTTACCCATTCTGCGAAGAGGTACTTTTTTTATAAACATCTGTTTTACGTTGTCAGGTACAGTCTCCGTCATCGGAGTTTCTATGAAACCTGGTAGTACCGCGTTAACGCGAATTCCAAATCTGTAATTGAAACAGACGATCGATAGTATCGGTGAGACATCGGTCGCCTAGTCAACGTTTTACGCTTACTGCCCAAATTCCAACGAAGCGGTTCGCGTAAGAGCTGTCACTCCAGCTTTCGACGCGGCGTAATTAGCTTGACCCATGTTTCCCACTTTCCCAATGATGGAGCTTAAATTAACAATGGAACCATCTCTGCTCACATCCGCGTCAATCATCTCTCTCACCGCTCCTTTGATCACATTAAACGTCCCTTTTAAATTCACGTGGAGTACTTCGTCAAAATCCTTACTGGCAAGTTTCAAAATAAACTGATCCCTCGTGATTCCAGCGGAATTAACAATGACAGTGGGCGGAGTTGAGTATTTGTCAACAGCACTTTTAAGCGCATCGTCCACGCTCAGCTCGTTCGAAACGTCCACGTGTAATGCTAAATGTTCGCGACCTAAAAAAACATCGTACAGAATTTTATCAGGCATCGGCACGATGAGACGGAATCATGATTTTTCTGCTTGAACCATTCAAAGATGCAATCGTTTCTTCGGCACTTTTCAAATTCCTATCCGCGCCGATGACTCTGGCTCCTTGTCTCGCTAACGCGCGACACACCTCTCTACCTATGCCGCTTCCAGCACCTGTGATCAAAATCAATTCAATGTTTATCTCTTTCTACGTTTACCGCGTACGGTCTTCCTCCGTCAAGCTCTTATTTCTTTCGTTCTTTTAAATGCACACCTGTTACGAACGCCACTTTGCCAACAACCATGATACTTTTTAATCAAAACACACACATGGGACAGGGTGCAAAGTTCTCTGCTTCGCGGTATCAAAAATAATAGTACCATTTTGCGTGTCAGCCTTTATATCGTTCGCATCGTCGGATTACATTATCGGACCACGCCTGTTCGAGTCCGGTACACATTTCGTATCGTGCCATCGTCTCTCAAAAAAAAATATGAACGTGACAATAATACCAAACCGAAGAGGTACTGTTAATCAGTATGCGTGCCACAGGAATAAGCACACGTACGTGTGGGTCACACGGTGTGACCACGGTTAGCTGATAGTTCTCGCATTTTCCACACGGTGTGCTCTTTTCCCAAGCCTTCTGTTTTAGAAATGGACGATGTAGTACATACATACACTGATCGTTTCATACTTGTAGAGTTAGCAATTTTATAAAGGGATCGCCAACGTTACTCGTGTTCGGGAGTTTTCTTTCGTAACGATCGTTGTCGCTAATCGGACGCGAGTACTTCTATAAACGGAGTTGACGCATCAAACAGGCTTTGTCTTGGTTTGCCGAAGAACAATGCATCGCAATGAACGATAAGTCTCGAAGTTTCAGATGACCATAGTGACGCGAGAAAACAAATCGACGATTCGCGGTTTACGCGAAGAAGAGTAGAAGCCTGAGTGAACTGTATTCGTCACATACTTTACTTCACGAGCCATCCAAAGATATGTCCGTGACTTTTGCTCAACGCGGGAGACCGCCACCGAATCCTGCCCAAATACAGAAGGTAATTAATATCGCGTGTTGCTAATTTAACACCTGAAACATGGGCCGAACCATTCGAGTTTGGTTGAAACTGCGTTTAAACACGCTGGACTTGTAATACGTAACGCATGTGTTTTCGTAGATGCTCGATGAAAACAGCCAGCTCATTCAGACGATACAAGAATACCAGAATAAAGGGAAACCTCAAGAGTGTATACAGTGAGCGCAACGACTCGTTTTTAAAACTAATTTGATTATTCCTGTAACTGTTCACTTATGTGTACGATTTTCTGTCAGATACCAGCAGATGCTGCATCGTAATTTAGTATATTTGGCCTCCATCGCGGATGCGAATCAGAATATACAAGCATTGCTGCCGGTAACGTGATATACTTTGATTAATCAATGACGTTTCCTTTCGAAGCACGTTTTTCATTTTTCATTTTTGTGACAAGCCACCGCAGGGAATTCCTAATGGCCCTCAGCATGGTATGATGAGTCCGCAAGGCCTTCCCACTGCTCCGACGGGATCGGGTGGTCCCGGAGGCGATATACCTCCGAACACCCAACCAACGTTACCGATGTCGAGTTTTAATCAAGGACAGCCCATGTCTCAAGGATATCGTGGTCCGGTCATGCCTGGACAAGGTCCCGCTATAAACAGTACGTTCTGGTCCGACGAGAGCTCTCTCATTCTTGTTACAACTGCCTTCTGATAGTGACGTCTTGTCCGAAGGACCGCCTACTGCGCCTGGACCGCAGCAATACAGAGGACCTCAGGGATACCCTCAACAACCATCTCAACAAGGCTACCCCGCGCAGTATGCCAACCAAACTCCTGGCTCGAATTATCAAGGTCCTCAGGGTACGGCTTATACTCCGGGACAGCCGAATCAGTACGGACCACCGAACGCTTCCCAGCAACAGGGATACAGTGCGTCGACGCAACCGAATTACGGTCCTCCGACTACGGTGAACAGTTACGGACCTCAACCAGGTGGATATCCACCACCGGGGTCGACTCAGCCTCCCACGGGCTACGGGCCACCGCCACCGAATCAGCAGGGCTACCCGCCTTCTAACCCTTCGCCACAGAACTTCCCGTCGAGCGGACAGCAGCAACAGCCGGGACAGTACGGTAGTCCTAGCCCGCAGCCAAATTATCAACAACCTCCGTCTCAGGCACCGCCGCAAAATGCTTACGGAGGCGGCCAGCCCGGAAATTATCCTCCTCCGTCGTCTCAAGCGTACGCGAACAATGTACCGTCTCAGAACTACCCAGCTCCGCCTACGTCGAGCGCTCAACCGCCTCAACCTGGCTCACAACAAAACCCTGGACCTCAACCGAACTATGGCAATCAACCGAGTCCTGGTCCCGGCGCGACGCAGTACGGTCCGGTCTCTACGTCGCCGCCTTTCAGCAGCTCGCCGGCGGCCGGAGTGAACACTTACGTTCAGAGCAGTCAACCGACGAGTACGCCGTCCGCCTCGACCCAGACCTATCCACCGAGCAGCGGTCCACCGCCCACCTCGCAGGGAGGCAGTTACGCGCCTCCTGGCCCCGCTCCGTCTGGCTATCCCGTGCATCAGTCGCCTCATCCGACGTCTCATCCGCCGCATCAACCGCCGCATCAGTCCCCGCATCAGTCGCCCCATGCTCCACATCAGTCGCCCCATCAGCCCTCTCACCAATCGAGCCATCAACCACCCGCGCATCAGCCTCCGCATCAACAGCAACAATCGCAACAGCAGTCTCAGACGCCGCCGCAGTCTCAACAGCAACAATCTCAGAGTCCCGCGCCGAGTGGATTTCAGCCACCGTCGGGACCTCCGCAGGGCCCTGCTCCTCCTCCGGGACCGCAGCCACAGCCTGGGTACGGTCCGGCTACTACGCAGACGTACGTGCCACCGACGCCTGGCGGTCAACCACAGGTATTGGCGAACCCTGACCTCGATAGTTAGGACGACGCGATTTTTTATACGTATAATGAGATCGTATGTCGAACCCGTGCGTAGGTGTACACGCCTCATCCGCCTCAAGGTGGGCAACATTACGGACATCCGCAGTACCCGCCTCAGAATTACCCTCCGCCGCCGGCTGGACAGGGATACCCTCAGTATCCACCGCGACCACCCGGTGGTCACATGCCTCCTCCTCCCGGACCTCAAGGACCGCCGCCGCCGAATCAGTACGGTGGTTACGGTTATCAGCCACCTCCGCAGTAGAGTCTACGCGTCAGCGTAAATTCGTCGCCGTAATGTAGAGGAACGGAACCCGGAACGAGATGGCGTAAATAGAACATCAATTTAATCCTTCACAGCATATCGTCTACGTGTCACTTAATGGGGCTAAATAATAAAAATAATCATGTTACTACGGAAAGGTGCTGCTGACGAAACGTTACTACGATACTAACGTTGGCAACGTTTCTGGACGACCTCGACTCTTCTCGAAAATAAGGTACGCATAGATCGATTTTACCACCAAATATAATTCGGTACAAAAATCAATTTTGTAGACTTTGCATATTGTATACGTATTCCAATGTGATCGAAAAGACTTCGAAGAAACAAAAAGAAGTCGTATCTTCCATCGCAGATACTCTCGCAATTAAAACATTCGGGATGCTGTGAATGATTTGGTACAAATGTCGACGTTTCGACTCGATGCATTTACATTCTATGTTCTACGTAACGTCGCTCTGTACGTTAGGGTCGTAAATCTCCGTTCTTTAATTCCGATACGTGTGGTACCGGACTCGGCAGTGCGTTTAGCTCGATCGATGAGGAGTTGCAGCATCGACACATTCGTCGCATCGATGTTGAACGTACGAAACGTACGGTACGACGTGATACGATCTGTTCACAGCTGCGGGAGCGCGCGTTTGCTTTACGAGTAACCTATTGTTTGTTTCCTTGTCTAATTTTATACATATATATATATATATACATATATATATATTTTTTATTGTCATTAAACGGATTTGTATGTTTGCGAAAATATTGTCTTTTCCTTGGAAAATTTCTTGGCGCTTGATCCGAGGTAGCGCGAGACGCGTCGTCGAATTCACGAGTAAAAGAGGACAACGGAACGTTCGACACTTCAATTCTGAACTCTGGTTCTTTTTCGCTTTTGCTTAATATTTCCGTCGTGTACCATCGAAACGTTGAGCAGAACGATCATAAACGAAGATAGACTGTCATAAAAAATATATATTTTCAAATTGTAAAGTTGAAAGTAGAGATTTCCAATGTTAGAACGACTCGATATTTTAAGATTGATCTCTCCTCTTTTACTGCAATTCGCTGCGAAATCACGCTCGTCTGTGCGACAGATGTTCGAACCATGTGTTTATTTTTGCGTACGAAAGAGACTATGGTAGAACGTGAAACCCGTATATTATTAGGGAGTAAATCGATGATTAAAGTTCCTTCTTGAGTCTCGTTTCTTCGACCTTGTCACCGTCGTTGTAACATTTACAAGAATGCTTAGGTTGCAGCACTTCTTCCATGTTATCTAGTACCTTAACTCTACTCTTTAAGCGTTTACTCCATTCCTGAGATAAAACAAAAAGAACGTTATTCTATGACATATATTGAAGAAAAATGAAAAATGAATAAATGAAGTTAAATCTGCCTGATCTCGCCTAGAATTTCTCACATTAAACAAGACGGCGTGATAGCAAAACACGTCTTGCGGCAGTAAATTATCCCTTGCGAATTGTCTAGCGGACTTGGCAATTTGCAACGCTTCCTCGTCGTGTTCTCTCGCCCACATGATCTTTTCAACGAGATCCGACAAGTCGCTTTTAACGGGTACGTAATGTTTCCAAGGTAGAACGTCATCGTAAAAGAATTCATAATACTTTGATTCTTGTTTGAACACGAGACCGTCTCCGGCGAGTAGATACGGAAACCGATACGAAGCCACCGTGCCATCGATGTTCAATTGATACTTGTACTGTGAAAAGTATTCGACGTTACTTAACAATTAGAATTCATGCGAAATTGCTCGTCCCTTATACCTTAAAGAAATCGAAGAATGACACGTGACTTTGCCCTGGACCGTACTTATCAATTTCATCGGTAAAGAAAAAGAAATTCGTGATCGAAACGTTGAACAGTTCAGGGTATTTTCTTGAAACGTCGATCAGATCTAGCCGTTCTCTGCGGGAATCTCGACCACGCCAGAACAGTTGTCTCCTTTTGTCTCTCCACGGCGTTTCGGTACTACCTTGTACAGATAGCACGTCCAACATCACCCTATGTCATACGCGATGTTATCAAAATGCGGGAAGGCCGTGACTACAGATCTGTTCGAACAGTCTTCGGTAATATAATGAGCGGTTGCACCTTCCCATTGCTTCTAGCGATGATTCCGTGATATCGTAGGTGGGCATGACGATGTCCTTTGTGTCAGACGAGCCGCACCACGAGAAGATCGGGTAATCTTTTCCGTGCTTCGAAACGAGCGGCCAGTCCCCGAGATTCACGAACAACTCGATATCAGGTAGAACGACTTTACGCGCGAGCGACAGAAGGATAGAATCCATGAACATCTTGAAACCTACGTGTCGACCGTGGCATTTCCTAAAAATCTTATTCCGTCTGGTTTAATTCGAGTACAGTTACGCGAATCGACGTGACGATCATGCGAGCGGTAGTTACTTCGTTAGACTTGACCACGTAATGACACAGACTGATGGATCCCGGTCGGTCGTACGCTTTCACGATGTCGTCACGAATTTTGTCAAAGTCCACGTTCGTAAAAGGCATAAGATCTTTGTGTATTCGCGTGTAGTTTTTGGAACATTTGAAATCGCCCAACCAGTCGTCGATGGAAGGATTTGGGCAGTAACATTCTTCTTCGTAAACGGGTCCTAAAAAATTTTGCAGAACCCTTTGCGTCGGACGGAAGAAAGTAAAAAAGACTTTGCTCGCGATGAGCTTCGATACCTTTGGATTCTATCGATAGGACGGACGAAGTACGATGCTTCGTTTTTACGTTTAATTTCAAATCGAAGCATGCCTCGTGTATTTTATATCTAACAATAAAACTTCCATCCTTAGAGTCAAAAATTTGTGTCCATACGTAGCACGTATGTCCCGTCGAACTTTTCCCTTGTAAGGAAACAGATATTATATCTTTCCCAGGTGATTCTGTTAAACTTCAGAAAAAGTTCGTGAGAAAAGAAATTAACAGGAACTCACTGATAATGAATGAACAAAATTGAAGGACGTACTTGTTTCCATTGAAATCGACGAACTGTAGAAAAATATACCTTGCTCTCATCGTTATTTTATCCGGTTCCAATCCCGGACCCCAAACAATTGTTTTCGATGAATCTACCTCGACGTTCCACACCTCTCGACACATGAGTAACAATAAAATCGATGCAAACATCATTCTTCCCAAGAGTGACGCTCACGTTCGTCTAAAACTAATCGTACAGGACGAATAAAGTACAATGAGAACCTGAGTATTTGTGTAGTATTTGTGTTTGAATCGATTCGATTCGGTTCGATAAGAGCGTAATAAAATCGAAACGTGATAACCGAGGAATCCAGCTGAATGCAGCTGCTGAAGCTCGTAGGGTATATCATCACATATCGTATATCGTATGCAGAATGTTTTTTAAAAAGTGATCATGCTTCAGAAATTGTACATGTATTTCGTACATGCGTGTATCTTCACATAGATACGAGTAAATAATCGGGAAATTGGTAATGAAATTACTGCTGGGATAGTTGCAACGATAAAACGAAAGCATATAACTGGATATAACGTCGATCGAGAATACCATTTTATAATCAGTCGTCGTCGAAGGATATTGTTGTTACCATTGTTACTTGAAGCTAGCCAACTCGTAAAGTTCTACCACAGTATACTGTGACTCTACTCCATTCCCTCTGCAGTTCGTAGCGTTATGACGTAGTGTCGTGTAGCAGATAATCCTTGTCCTTAGGTTATATTTGTTTACGAGAAATCATAGTGATCCAGTTTCATGTAACTCTCAACAATAGTCGTCGTTAAAGAGAAATACATTCACTAAAATGCATGATACGAATTTGAACGCGAACCGTGCAATGAAGACGCGTCGAATTTTTCACTTACAAGACTCGCTCGGTTCTCTGCAGGTGGGAATCTGTTCGATTTGCGGCGGAGTCACTGGAAAGTGATAGAGAAAAATGATTCCCAAACAATCGAGACAATAACAGTTTTGTTTCGACCCGCGAATCGAACGAATCGGGCATTTAACGTACCGACGCGTAACGATAAACTCTAATAAACGTTTAAACGCCCAAAATGGAGTGTAACATCGACGATTTGCCGGATGTTCTGTTAGAATACATTCTAAGTCTGATTCCACCTTACAAGGATCTCGAGGAGTGTAAACTGGTATCTAAGAGGTGGTTCCGTGCCACGCAAAGTGCGTAAAACTCTCGTCGTTACACTTGCATGTGTTCGTATAAGGATTAGCGACGCTTCTTCCATTACAGATGTGATACATCATAATAAAACGCACTTTCACAAATCTGTTGCTTACGGATCGTTGCTCTGGAGTCTGTGCCCGCCCAAGCAATGGACGTCAACGATCGCGAAGAGGCATTCGCATTCTGCGTGTACGTACGGAAACTCGATGTACGTTTTTGGTGGATGCACAGCTACTTGTACGACCTTCAATGATTTGTGGAGATTGGACTTGGACACGAGAACTTGGGTCAGATTGATCACCAAAGGGACTTATCCGTCTCCCAAAGCTTGCGCCACTATGCTCTATTACAAGAAAAGCTTTGTTTTATTTGGCGGATGGTCCCATCCATCGCCCTATCCTGTACATCAGGTAGGTGTTCGTTGAAAGATCGAAATTGATCGAAACAGCGTTTCGACAATCGTCAACGTCTCCTCGTGCTTCTAGCAATGGAAATTGTTCAACGAACTGCACATGTACTCTATAGAAAATAACAAGTGGTTCGCTGTAAGTACCCTGGAAGCACCTCCGCCCACTTCGGCGCATTCTGCGTCGATCCACAACAATCGTATGATCGTTTTCGGAGGTATATGTAACGGGTATAGGTAATATGTTTGAATCACAATTAACATCCTTCGGCCTGCTTGATACGAGCAACATTCTCTTCTCTCGAGACAGATCCAATGACGTGTGGTGTTTGAACTTGGACTCGTACAGTTGGTACAAGCAAGCCACTTCGAACGTGAAGCCGCAACCGCGTTATGGTCAGTCTCAGATCGAGCTCGGGGAGAAACATCTCCTAGTGCTTGGTAAGCTGTTCGGAAATGCGATTTTTCGAATCTCATGGATTCTCGTTTAAGATCGTTTAATCGACGTGCATGAAAAATTAGGAGGTTGCACCGGGCCTAATGCGGCCATGAACGATGCTTGGCTATTGAAAATGGAAGGCGCGACCTGGACTTGGAAGAAAGTAAATATGCACAACACCGAATGGGCACCGACGCGTATTTGGTGTCACCAAGCTTGTAAGGTAATGGTCAAAGGAATCGTCGTCGATGTTGCAACTAGCACGTCTTTTCGTCTCATAGGTGGGCAACTACGTCATCGTCCTTAGCATAAACAAATGTCAGAATAAGCCGAACGATATGAGCATATCGCTGAAGAAAGTCACTTGTCAAGCCGCATCTTCGCCAAGGGAGAGCGATTCGTCCCCTTTATACGTTCGGTACGACGACTCTGTCGTTGAGACATCGACAAATAGATCTGATCGAACTTTGGTTCCAGGCGAGGAAACCTGTCTACCGTAGATAGAGATGTGAACATCAATGGTCGGCACGGGTCTTTCTCGGAGGTATCTGCGCCGAGTCCACGGCCATCGCCTCAACGTCCGAACTTTACGAAGAACTTGCCGTTCTGCTATGATAATGTATTGAGTATGGCCGCTTTTCGCGACGAACCCGTGCGCAATAGCGGCAGTAACAGTCATCGACAACGTCAACTGGAGTCGCTCCGTAGAATGGAGGAGAGTATTAGGAATCGAAGAACGCAATCAAAAGCGGCGAAGAAGCCGAAAAACACGTTGTCCATATTCGTGTTGGATATCGGGAACGTCCTGTGCGATGAGTGCAGTGCCTCGTGGATTCCTTTGAAGCACGACGGTCAGTCGGGTCCCAACGAAAGAATACTTTACTCGCTCGTGGCCGGTCGCGGAGAATTAATAGTATTCGGAGGCATCGGTAAAGAGCAAACGACTGTGCAAAACCATCCTAACGTGGACGAGCCCGAGGTGTATAACGATCTACATTTCATAAATCCTCCGAGATACATTATTTAATGTCCCCGCAACGGAGACACGGATGAGTATCAGCTTCTCCATTCATCGTTTAATTAAAGTAAAAGTTATAATTACGATATAAAAGTACTGTAAAAATATTTTGTGATACACGCATAGGTTTCGCTCGTTTACGCACTTCCTCGAATGAAGTCGAGATTTTTTTCCGTTGACGAGGAACGACGATCGTTAGCTCGACGAATGTACATTAATGTACTCGCCGCCTGATTTTATTACAATTCTGTTATTTACATATTTTCTTTCACGCGTTTCGCTTACGTGTTAATCATCTTCGGCCTCGGCTGTTTTCAGACTACCGAACACTTGCGACGGTATAGTTTGTTTCTCGACAGGTATGTCTGAAAGTATGAAAGCACGGGTTCAGAGACATGAGAGAAAATATCTGTTTGCTGCTGCTGCTGAACTGTCCAAATTTCTAAGCCGCGTTACACGCGACGGAACGTAATAAAAATCTGAATGTGTCTGTCCTAAAAGATTCTGCGCTTACCTCCCTCCGCGTCTCCTTCGTTCTCGTTGACGTCGTCGATGTCGATGTCTATCTCGTCCGGATTGTTTACCTGAGATTCCGGCTTGCCATCCTTTTCCGTCACGCCGCGAACGAACTTGATACCCTCTTTGTACCCGGCAATGTTGTCTGCAATGCTACACGATTAAATTTCTGCTCGGAAGTAATTAGGACATGTACGCGTACGTCGTGTAACAGAGCAAACGAACCAGTGGCCTGTGTCTTGCTGTCCAAAAGGCGCATCGCATCCACCGGCACGTCAGACGGTGGATTCGACGCGTTGTTCAACATTTGCGCGGACATCATGTTCACCTGAGTATTGTACATCGCTTGAACGCTGCGCTTGATTCGAAGCATCTCGCGCATCGTGTCCTCGTTACCGTGTCTCACCTCGAACTCTTTCCATATTTGCCAGAAATTCGACGTCACCTGATCAGAACGTAACGAAGGTATGTTCAGAGACGTCACGTTTATCGTTCATGAACTAACAGTATTTTGTACGTACTCTCGGGTCACAAATTTGACTGCAGTGCGCGTATATCGCCCGGGCCCTGTCGACCTCTCCCAGCTTCGTCTCCATTTCTGCGAACCGTAAGCACATCTCTCTCGTGTTATCGTCGTTGAGTACCGCGATAGCCTTCTCGTAAATCTGTCTCGTCTTTGGCACGCCGTATATATCTGCCGCTTTCTTTATGTATATGTTGAACATCTGTAAGATGAAACGCATTGTTGATCTTTCGTGTCGTAGTTACCGAATTAAGTACCGGTTTTGGTACCTCGAATCGTTCTTCCGGTAGAACGGCGCTCGTTGCTCGTTCGTATACCGACATCGCGTGTCTAGCCAAGCCATGTTCCTCTTCTAACTTTGCATACAGCAAGTACAGAGCTACGACAGTGAAAGAGAATTAGCAACGTAGTTTCTTACACGCACAATGATCCGAAGCGTCACGTGGCGTACGCGGTACCTTTGGCATACTTCGGTGGGCAGTGTTCCAGACACTGTTCGAACAGATCTCGCGTTCGTTCCAGTTTGGTACCACCGTAACGTTTTAAAAATTTAGTGAGATAAGTGTTCCATATGTCGTACACGTTTGGCCACTTGAAAAGAGCAATGCCTTTCTCGTAAGCCTGAAAAAAAAAGAAAAAAAATAATGGGCGAACATCGTGAGGCCGCGTAGTATAATTTCAACATCGCGTTTCGCGCGATCGACTACACATACTCTGAAAGCTTCTTCGAAGTATTTGTTCTCTTCTAAAAACAAGCCGTAATTAATGATGATTTGTGGTGTCGCAATTTTCAAATCGATGATCTTGTCGTACACGGCTTTACAAGTCTGAAACAATGAAATGAGATAAAGAGAATCCTGCTGAAACCGTGATCGCCCATTGAAACGTACCTTGAACGTGCCGAAACTTTCTTCCAGGTCGGCGTACATGGACCAAACTCTCAGAGATTTGTACAGTCTCATTTGAACGGTTTCCGTCTCGTCGTGATAGGCCACTTTACGGAATGGCATAGCCGTGGCTCGATGCATCAGTTTCAACGCCTCTTTATAATTCCTACACAAATACAATCGTCGCATTAATCAAAGAGCGTTTACGAGGTCGATGGAGAAAACGGAAGAAGGAAGAAACGATACCCGTGTCTGATTTCCATTTCTGCCCACTCGCACCACACGGAAGCGAGGTCGTCGACTTTCGTGTAAGGAACGTGAGTCGCTTTCTCGAAGACTACTCGGGCATCTGCTATTTGGCCGTTCTCTTCGTAAAACTTGCCGAACTCCACCCACAAAGTGTGCAATTTACCTACGGCCAATTGTGGCTGTACGGTTTGCACGGCTTCCGTATACGTGTTAATAATCTGAAGGGGAACGAACAGACCGTCGAGGTCGTATAAATTTAGTTTAATACGGGATCAAATGAAGATCTTTACCTCGTGCGGCTGCCCCTCGTAAAGTCTGACTCTCTTGTGCCATTCTTGTACGTTGTGAGGATTTTGTCTGAGCAAGACAGAATTCAGAAGGAGCAATCGCCTCTCCATCAGATGTTCGAATCGTGCCAGTCTCAATTCCAGGTCGATGTCGTCTGCAAACGTAATTGCAGGTGATTAAAGGTCGCGTCAGTTTCTGACAACAGAACGTTCTTGTCGTACCATCTTCGGTAGGATTCTTCGCCGCCTCTTCCATACGCTTGCTGAGACTCAGTTCTTCGAACTGGGCGTATGCATCGAAGACTTGGGTAAAATCCCTGACGGTAGTCACCGTTTGGATAGCTTCTTCGTAAATATCTCTCGCCTGTAGAAGAGGAACACATTGAGATCTCGCGACTAACGAATCTAAGGTTGATGTTCAATTTCGAAGAACGAATCGTCCGATACCCTCTCGAATAAGCCGCTGCGAACGTAATAGTCCGCCAACGAATTCCACAAAGGGCCTAACTGATCGGTATAACGTCTCAACCCGCCCCTGATAATCGCGTCCACGTTGAGGGACTTAATTTTCGAAGGATTCTTCGATATCAAATCGCACAACTCGTTCCACAGTTGATGATTCGATTTGCCGTGTTTAGAAACAAAATCGTCTTGATTGACGATTTGTGCGAGCTTCACGGCTGCTTCGTCGAGCCTTCCGATAGATATTAAATACTCTATGTATTCCTCAGTATCTTCTGGAGCTAGCTAGAGACAAACGGATCACGCGTTATCGGGTGTGAGTCCACGACGCAAGTCCGAGTACACGTACCTTCAAATATCTCCTGAAAACTCTGACAGCAGTTTCGTAGACGTCGTGCTTCTTTAAAAACTCTATGTACAACGGCCATATCCGATGGTGTTGCGTGATAGGAAGAGCTCTGAGCGCTCTGTCGAAGACTTGACGAGTGCGAGTGATGTAATACTGCTCCGTCATTAGTGTACAGTAATCCATCCAAATTCTAGGCATTTTGTGCATGAAGACCAGAGCACGTTCGAACGCGTTGTTCACATCTTCGTAAAGGGCATCCGTTATACATCTCCCTTTCAACTGACTCACGCGCTGCCGCAGGTAGTTGTACCATAACTTGTAGCTGAGAGAAAATGTGTCGCACTGTATAAAACGAACTCTGAAAGGAGATGTGCGTGTCTTACCTTCCAGGAAGCTCCTTCAACGCTCGTTCGTATACGATGTTGAGATTACTACTTTTCGTACTCCTCAAGTGGTCTATGTAACGTTGCCAGTGTTTCACCGAATACGGATTTCGCAAGATTTCTTCTTCGTACGGTAAATCCTCTTCGTTCTAAAGTGAACGAAACGATGGAGACGTTAAGCGAAACTGTATGAAAGGAAGAGGGTGTTGATACGACGAGTATACTTACGAAAACGTATGAGTTTCCATCCGGATCCTTGCGTTCCAACATGTTTTCCAATGTTCGTAACCGTCTACGATTTATTTAATTCAACTACGGCACATTGGCAACGTTACGTAGGTACGATTAAATATATCGCGTACACAGGTTACTTTACACTGTTTCGACGCGGTCGCAGGCGGTTTACTAGGTTTACCAAGGTTTACTATACTAGCCACGCGGTCACGGCCACGCTACATCTAAATACGAACGTGAAGGTGGTTTTTCATTGATAAATACTTGAACCCTTTGTCCATGTTGCTTCGAACTTTAAACAAATCGGCGTGCTTCGAGAACCCGTAAAAACGTACACGTATCGTTTGTTTGTAACTATTCTGTTCGGAGTTCGGAGCTGTGAAGCCGTGTACATAAGTAGAATGCATGCGCGCAGAACGAACGTATACGTTAATGCGCCCGGACGAGTAAACATGCAACCTGCGATAGAAAATATTTTCAAACTCGTGAAGCTCGTGTTAAAAAACGAAACGACGGTCTTCGAAAAGTGCTTGGATCGCTTCTAAATCCGGCGAGACGTTTGAAAATCAAAAACCTGTTCGAATATTAACGTATCCCTTGCGGGTCAACGAGCTTCTGTGTTTTGTACTTGACGCAATAAGTTTATGCGGGCCGCATAACTCGTCCCGTCCGTCGGTACAGTTTTTCTACGTCACGGAACGTCGTTCTGCATGGTTGTGTCTCTAAGTCGTTATTCTTCCGATTAACGCAAGGTAATCGAGGGTTGGATCTAGTTAACGACGATCGTCCCGTTCGACGAGATGCCTCGCAACCGTGCAAGCATCGTACCTTTACGACTTCCAAAGCCAAACTAACACAATGCCATTCCCGTGTGTCTTCTTCTTACCTTATCGGGTCATCCAGTGATACCTGTTAAGTACGTTCGTTTGTGCACCGTACGACCGTGGCGTTCGACGGTTTCCCATTCTTTTACCAAAAACTTGAAATGCTGAAAGATTCAAGAGCACCTCGAAACATCGTACGTTTATAGGTGTCCGCAAAGGCGTAGCTCTAAACGGTAAAATTCCGTAGGACGCGTAATCGCAGATGTTCTAAACGTTCTCCGATCGTTAAGTCGATTGAATGTCAGTCTCCGAGACACGATCGTTAATTACATCCGATAACCATTGTATTTTACGAGCGGTTAAATCCGTAAATAAGCTTTTCAAATTGTCGAAAGGAGATCTAAGCTTAGCTTCTGTAGGAGCGAGCTACGTCTCGTCTCTGTTTCATCTGGATTAATATTTCTTTCGTAGGATTGTGCATTGAGAGATGGCGATGGATTTGGATCCAAACGATCCTGAGGTACGGTTGTCACGATTTCTCTACGTCGGAAAGGAATATCCGGATTATCAACCTGGAAACTGGTTCGTTCACAATTATTACTTGGCCAAGAACGTCCCGTCCATCGAAGAGTTAGCAGAAAATACTGAGAAACAATTGTTACCCGTTCAGATTATCATTAAGGTAAAAGTCCGTTACCACGTTCTCAGTTTATAACATATATACGTGTATGCACATCTGACTTAAAATCTCCTTCCCAGGCATTTGAAACTAATCTCGTACCGAATCCAGAAACGCTGGTATTCGCTTTGGCTGTTTGCTGCAGGCAAATGAAAAGCGAGAGCTTGCGTCACGAGGCATACGCGGCCTTGAACAAAATTTGTGCGTCGCCGCAACATTTCATTTTATTTATTAAATTCGCTTCTCAAATCAGTAAACAAAAGGAACTGGACGCGGCCGGTGGCTCGAAGCATGGATGGGGCCAGGGCTTGAGGAAAGCTGCGAACAATTGGTATTTGTCGAAGACACCGATAGAATTGGCCGAATGTGTCACGAGGTACAAGGGGAGATACGGTTGGAAGCACAAAGACATCGTCAAACTGTCTCATCCTGTGGCCACTGATCCTGGTAGTCGTCCAAGTTCGTTTTAATTGCGTCGCTGCATGGTCTTATCGTAAATTAAACAGTGTGCCGTTGAACAGGGCTGGAAATCATCCTTAAATACGTAGTACACGGTTTGAAGGAAGCGAAGGAGAAGGGGACATCGAACGAAGATCGATCGGTCGCAGAGGTTTTAGAATACATCGAGCGTGTGGAGGACTTTAAACGTTGCACGGACGAAGTTCGTGCGGCAGGGCTCTTAGAGACGTACGGATTAACGCTCGATCACGTACCTGGACACTTGTTGAAATCTAAAGAGGTACCGAATGATGATAAAAAGAATTTCGATGCAGATGGTCGACTGTGACGAACAATTTTCAGGTTTGGAACGCGTTGATACCATCAATGAACTTGGTTCTACTTTTGACCAATTTGCAAAGGATCCACAATCTCGAATTATTGAGACCTAATTCGCCGACGGTCTCGAAGATAGTGGATCAGTTCACCTCTACGGAGAGCATCGCTCAAGACAAGGTTCACCCGGCTTTGGTATTGGTCACGATCAGAGACTACGAGAACTCTGGAAAGTAGGTGACGATGATAGTTCGCAATTCAGACGTTTCATCGCGTTCGCTCTACGAGTACGTGTCGTTTTCCAGGCCGTTGACGTACGAGAAGAGAAAGATCAAAGAACAGTTTGAAAAACCATTACCCGTTCCGCCTAAACCAAATTCGAAGATCATCGACGCTCTCTATAAAATGTTGAATCTCTCCTTTAACGTAAGTGTAAAATGCGTTTTTCGAAACGTTCACGCCTTGTTACATCGTCTCTGTTTCACGTAGAACGTTCAACCGACCGGATTACGTTACATGGTAACGATCAATATGAACAAAGTGATGTTGGAGACCCACTGTTGGCGCAGCGGTAACGTGAACGGCGCGGAAGCGGGTTGCATGATCGCGCTTGCTCTCCTTCGTAGCGAGAAGCACGTCACCGTTGCGACTTTCAAAAACGTCGGGATTCATACCGTGAACATCGATAAAACGGCCTCCTTCGGTCAAGCCATGAGGAGATTGCAACAGATGCCCGTTGGAAATGTGAACCTGAGTAAACCTATGGCGTGGGCTGCGCATCAGAACAACAAGTACGACGTCTTCGTGAACGTCGTGGATCAGATATTCGAGAAATCCGACACGTCCGAGGAGGCTCTTCAAACTTACAAGACAAAATTGAAACTTCCGAACACGAAGTGAGTGACGACGGTTTAAATCGCACCGATTGTCGAAGGAATGATTCGTACACGTTGACGCTTGTCCTCAGGTTGATAAACTGTGCCGTATGTTCCTCATCGACTTACCGCAAGGAGAAGACGAACAAGAGCATTTTGTTGATAAACGGTTTCGACGCCAGCGTTCCCGTTGTCGTACAGGCTTTCGCCAAGTCCCTGTTTTAATCGTCCACGTTCTTTGGCAAGTACCGCAATCAATCATTTATCACGCTTTTAAAACGACCGACTTGATTTTTGAATGAGTGAACTTCGAGATCATCTTTACAAAATCGTCAATTAAGAAATACATTACACGTTTAGACCGCCACGTTCGCTGTGGGGAGGGGGGAGAAAAAGCTAATTGCCAATAATCTATGAATATTTACTAGTCTGATATTTATACGGTAGCCAGAGCATGCGATGGTCGAACCGACTTCAACGATCGGTACTCGAATCACTTCGATTCACTTCACGTTCGTCATGAATTTACTACGAGAATCGGCATGAATCTTGAATCGAGTGTCTCGACTGTCAAACAGAAACTTACTACTGAAAATATTCTATGACACATTCAGAGGCAAATCGTACACGTGCCGAGAAAAAGAAAGTTCTGATCGAAAGCTCTTCTGCATTGACATCAATAGCTTCAGTATGAATCCACTGCTCGTAAGAAGTTTCGATTTCGTTTTTATTCACGCCTGACAAGAACGAAGAATGGATCGGCACTTAATTGTCATTATAACTGGTAACAGTTATACATTTATCGCTAGTAGTAATACTAACGCGTCGACATTACTGACGATATCTAATGCATGTCTTTAGTACGTAGGATAAGCCGAATATAATCTTTGATAACAATTTAATTTGTCCTTAGAGAGTGGTCCAACAGATTATGTAAATATTTGTTCAATCGAACGGTGCACCGATAAACGAATCAATAATTAACAAAGGATATAAATGTGATACGTCTGTGATCGACCATTTGATTAGATACAGAAAAATGTTTCGAACGTCATGGACCACTGTTTTACATTGCTTAGGAGAAACGGACGCGCGTTTAATAATTTATCGCTTCTCGTCTAATGAAATAACACTTGCGCAGCTGAATAAAGGAAAAAAGGAAAAAAAACGTTAGGATAAGACTGCGTGTTAGACACGCAACGAGTGTCTGAAGTAACGTAAGGTGCATTTTTCAAACGGAAAGATACTTTTACTCGAATATTCGCCTGCTTATTTCCATTGATCAGCGATGAAGCTTTCTGTACTCTCCTTGATAAGAATCTATAGGTATACGTAGAACGCGACTTTTAGGATGAAAATACATTTCGAGGACCGGCGCGCCTCTGGGAGCTCGAATAAGAATTTAAAAAAAGGAATAAAAAAGAAAACGAATAGAACGTTGAAAATTTTCCCTCTGTGATACGCATTTAGCCCCAAAGAATATAGACTTACATTAGTATAATTTTACTGTTGTATTTCATATTTGCCATATCCAAAGTAAATACGACAAATACTAAATACTGCTACTAACGTAATACTGTGATACAAGGTACATTGTTATCGTTCGAACTAGGCGAAGAGATAGGAGCGAATACGTGAGCCAGAGACGCGCCGATTGTCTGCGTTCGTTTGTTAATTGATTAGTATCTTTAGAGACGATGAAAGAGCGAAGGAACGACGGTATCCAGAGGCATTTCGATCCTTGAATTACCCGAGGCAAAGTCGTTTGGTTTTTGGAAGCAAGAGTCGAGCTCTTCTTAAACAACTGATAACCCAGCGTGGATGTATTCTCAGGTCCGACGAAACATTTGAATTAAGTGCTTAAATGTTCACGTGTCCTTCGCAGCCTGGCGCGGTGATTCATGGATCGATCGAACCACTTATACACGTCGAACGTAAACGCGTCAGGGGAAATCGTAAAGCGTAGAAACGATTTTCATTTCTCGCCCGACGAACGTCCGAGAGTTGAAACAAAAATTGTACATGCATCGCTATACGTTTTCGGATATTGATTTTCATATTTTCTGCAGACAATGCGATTTCTCCATTGATTCGTCTTTCTGTCTTGCGGTCTGTTAATTATTATATCACCGGGGATCGATGTTTCACCGGGGAAGAACGTTCATCTCGCGATTTGTAATATCGTTTGCGCGATGCGTCGCATAAAGGTACGTTTTACGAATCATAAGTTATCGAAAATACTAGTATTTTTAGATAAATTTTCCGTAGTCAACGTTCTAAGATGCGCTTGACAACAATCTTTTCGTACGAGAGAAATGATCGTAGAGATAGACGAAGAAACATTGTAATAGTCGCGCGTTTAATTATACTGTTTACTCGTTAAGAGTGATTGAACGTACGATGCTACGTTTGTATTTGTAGCCTATATTCACTGATATCACCTACGTAGGTAGAGAGTAGCTTAATTATCGACACGCTCTTACCTGACGATCGAAAAGAAATCATATCGACTGTCCGAGTAATCTCTTCGCCACTGTCACTTCGTAACTGCCATCTTTTTATCGTTTACGATTACGATTTTCGATTATTTTAGAAACGACGCCGAGACTCGATAGGTCAAAGTGATCGTTCCTGCCACTGAGACTGGCAACGAATCCGTGTGTACGTTAGGTCCTTTTGTTTTCATCGGTCGTACGTATTTCTTTTCGACCGTGTCGCGTAAGCCAGCATGCGTCGTCTATCATAAAATACGTCCAAAATGTTAAAAAAAAAAAACAGAAAAATGAAAATGAAAGAAAAAAAAGAAGAGGTACAGGAACGTAGGAACAGCAAGACTACTTACACTGTCCGAGGGAAACGTGTAGTATCCGCGCTCCTTTTTTCAAGCCCACAGATTTTAGGTAAATGCTGTTCTCCATCCGTCTTGAACGAGAAACGATATGTTAAATGTGTTCATTCTAGTTAAAAAAAAGAAGGTGAAAACAATATTTACCGTGAGGGAGAACGACAAATTCCGGAATAAAATTGAACAGCGTAATAGTAGTATGAGTTCGAACATACCGCGTGTACGAAGCATCGCGTTGTATCTTGGCCGCGTTATGGTCTGTTCAAATTGTCGTAACGTAACCGTACCGTAAGAAGAATCTTATGGGGTCTTCGGCGAAATTTTCATTATTTGAAGAAAAACGGTGTTTTGATCCGAGACGAATTTAGTTTCCATTAGGAAGCACAAATCTTTTATTTCGCGTACGTATATTTAATGTAAGTACATATTTGACAGGCTCGCGGTGTACAGGTCTCAATGTACACGTAAGAGTAATAGCAACATGTTCCTTAAGATTAACGAGATCCGAGGGGGGGAAAGAGAAAGGAAATTATCGTAATCGCATCGTTAGTGCATCACTCTGCGACGATCCGCAATAATAAAACTGCTCAATCTGTTGCTTATGAACTGTTCGAAGCAATGCCAAGAAACGGTGTTACACTTTATGTACAAAAATATATACGGAAGTATGCCTCGTTCATGTCCTAAATACGATTAACGGATTTCTAACGGAGTTGCACTAATTATGCCGGCGAACACGGAATAATTAAATACTTCGTGACTTACACAGAATGCCTACTTTCTGGCCTTACTTTTTTACAAAGAGAAAAGATGAAGGGAAAAGTACTCTAAACTTAACTAAATAGACATTCGTCTTACATTTTTTTAATACGTATAGGTGTCGGCTATTTATTATTTGTTTCTCGATAATAATTGATATATATATATATATATATATATATATATATCCACACACACACACACATATATATATATATACGTGTCATGTGTATATGTATAAGGAGAACTATTGCGATTTTAATACGATTATATGTTGTTTTATACTGATCAGTTAATACGTGTGAGAGAGAGACACGCCGTCTTTCGTTTTGTGCGGTTGCGTTCGTTGATCGAAAATAGTATTACTATCTCTAATCACGTTTCACGGTTACTTCTGTATAAATTATTAAAGATCGAATGCGCTACGAGAAAAGTAACGATCGTAGGAAATTCACCACAGAATGTTCTACTATAGAAAATGGTTGTTAACGGAATTCTGACGTTATTTTTGTACCCATGTGAAAAAAAAAGATATATTTAGTTACTGGATCGCTACGAGCAAACGAGATATCTGAAAGTTATGCGCGAAAGAATACGTAATATTACTATTATTATATCTGTTGACATCGTGTTTCGATAAAATAAGTACAATAGGCATTTAAACCTATAGAGAATCTTCATCCTGTTTTTGTTATAAAATCAAACCACGTCGAATAAAATTTGTTCCAAATCCATTTCGGCTGTAATCTTCCTGTGTTCCTCTTAAAATTCATACATCTCCGACGACGATTGCTCCGACCATTGTTCAAATTTAATCATCCTCCGTTTACTGAAAAAATGTTTATTTCCGTGATACTGATACATGTGACGTTCACTCATACAGAACAGCTATATTGTACATGGTACGATATAGTTTCTCTACAGGCAGTAATAGGCGCGAGTGATATGATACGCACTTGCATACACTCGCACGAATCGGCAGGCATCCATGTGCAAAATCCGTAACGCGAACTGCACAACGTCTTACTTACTCGGTTACATGTACCGGAACGTACGAGACAATCGATTAAAATAAATTAACGCGCAGAATCATTTCTTGGGAACTAGTGAAGCTACTTCCAGTAAATATAAAATCCTTCTCGTTAAGTATGCGCTCTTCCTTACTATTGAGAAGATCGTGATGACCGTTTACGTTATACGACGACTTACGCTACCAGACCGACGCCGCGCGGATCGATTCCGCCAACAGCCGCGTATCTTCCGGCACCGATGCAATTTAACGAATAACGAACGTTCGTCGATCAGTCTTTTTTATACTTGACGTTTCAACGACGTACTCGATGTCTCTGCGGCGTTTGCACGAGACAGTGGTAATTCAGTCTAAGTTAGGACGAACATACGAGTACTGATCGGTTTCTAGTTAAAGCTCGTCTTTCAGATCTTCGTCCTCACCACCGGTCGGAGGGACTCCGCCGCCCGCGCCCTGGTACAGTTTGGCGATGATGGGTTGAACGATGTCTGTAAGCTCTTTCTTCTGCTTCTTATACTCCTCGGGATCCGTGTCCGGATTGTCTTCCAACCATTTGATCTTCTCGTCGATAGCTTCCTCCATTTTCGTCTTGTCGGAATCGCTAACTTTCGAACCTAGTTTCTCCTTGTCGGCCAACTGATTCTTCAACGAGTACGCGTAGGACTCCAATTCGTTCCGCGCCTCTACTCGCTCTTTCAATTTCTTGTCGTCATCCGCGAATTTCTCGGCATCCTTTATCATCCTCTCGATGTCGTCGGGAGTGAGCCGGTTTTGGTCGTTGGTGATGACGATCTTCTCGCGGTTTCCTGTTCCTTTGTCCTCGGCGGACACTTGAAGAATGCCGTTCGCGTCGATCTCGAACGTAACTTCGATCTGCGGTATGCCTCGCGGCGCGGGCGGGATGCCGGTGAGATCGAATTTGCCAAGCAGGTGGTTGTCCTTAGTCATCGGACGTTCACCTTCGTACACCTGAATGGTTACCGTGTGCTGGTTGTCCGACGCGGTGGAGAAGATCTGCGATTTCTTAGTAGGGATCACAGTGTTTCTGTAAGGGAAAAAGAACGTCTACTTCCACGTACGAAGCGTAACGACGTGACCTATCAGAGTGGCATTCGCTTACCTCGGAATAAGTTTAGTCATGACGCCGCCGACGGTCTCGATGCCCATGGTGAGTGGATTCACGTCCAAGAGAACGATAGCGTCCGTGTCTTGCTCGCCGGAAAGCACACCTGCTTGTACGGCGGCACCGTACGCGACAGCCTCGTCGGGATTGATGCCCCGAGACGGTTCTTTACCGCCGAAGAACTCCTTGACCAGTTGTTGAACCTTGGGAATCCTGGTAGAACCACCGACGAGCACGATTTCGTGTATATCTTTCTTGTTCATGTCGGAATCTTCTAAGACCTTTTGTACGGGCTTCAGAGTGCTACGGAAGAGGTCCATGTTCAGTTCTTCGAATTTGGCACGCGTCAACGTCTCGGAGAAATCTTCGCCCTCGAAGAACGATTCGATCTCGATCCTCGCCTACGAACACGTGGAAAAGTTCTGTTTAGAGGCAAAGTTCTTTCGAAGAAAGGTTCGACCGTGAAGTCGGCTCGCGAAACGTACTTGATGACTGACGCTGAGCGCTCTCTTAGCTTTCTCCACTTCGCGACGCAGCTTTTGGAGAGCTCTACTGTCCTTGCGAATGTCCTTCCCTTTCTTCTTCTTGTACAGCTTGATGAAGTGATCCATCACGCGCTGGTCGAAATCTTCGCCACCTAAGTGAGTATCGCCGCTCGTCGCCACGACCTCGAACACTCCGTTGTCGATGGTGAGCAAACTGACGTCGAAAGTGCCACCGCCGAGATCGAAAACCAACACGTTCTTCTCTCCGTCTTTCTTGTCCAAACCGTAAGCTATCGCGGCGGCCGTCGGTTCGTTGATGATCCTCATGACGACGAGTCCGGAGATCGTGCCTGCATCCTTTGTGGCCTGCGCGATGAACATTTAATTGGTCAGTAAATGTAAAAACCGAACGCGACTCTTTTCCGGGTACACGTTTCGCACTTACCTGTCTCTGCGCATCGTTGAAGTAAGCCGGCACAGTGACCACGGCGTGAGTGACTTTCTTGCCCAAATACGCTTCCGCAGTTTCCTTCATCTTACCGAGCACCATAGCGGAGATCTCTTCGGGTGCAAATATCTTGTCCTCGCCAGTGACCGTCATCCTTATGTGCGGCTTGTTGTTCTTCTCGACCACTTTGAACGGGAAGAACTTAATGTCGCGTTGGACAGTAGGGTCAGACCACTCTCTGCCTATCAATCTCTTGGCATCGAAAACTGTGTTCTCCGGATTCGTGGTCAATTGATTCTTCGCAGCATCTCCGATTAAACGTTCTCCGTCAACGGTGAACGCCACGTAGGAAGGCGTGATCCTGTTTCCCTGGTCATTGGCTATGATCTCCGCTCTACCATTTTTGTAAACTCCGACACTGACAACATAGATTAACGTCAAAAATACCGGTCGGGACATTTCTAAAGATCTAATTCTAATCTTCTGTCGCAGGACAGCGAATCAACGGCCAGTGGATGTTCCTTACCGACCCATCCTGCGCATCTTTCATTAAACACTGTTTTACTTACCAAGAATACGTCGTGCCCAAATCGATTCCAATGACGGTACCAATATCTTCCTTCTGCTTTCCTTCGTTCGCGAAAGCAAAGGCCACTAAGCCTAGTAAAAGCAGAGCTTTAGCTCCCTTCATTCTTCTCTTCTGTGTATCTAAATACAGTCCTGCAACGTAAGAACGTAATAATTAAATTTACTCCTCGAAGAGATTTACTTGTAGTATTCGAACGAGATTCGTGGATGCACACACACACTACGGTATACCACGGGATGGAAATTTCTATTACGGACGTACAAAATAATGAAGATCTCTTGTGACACGAGAATATGGCACCGTTGTCCGTGCACGATTAATAAGAAAACCGAAATAAGATCGCTAGTAACGCTTAATTGCTCGATTCCGGCAAACATATTCCGATATGTGTGTACACACCGTGCCGCACAAGACGATTGAAATTCGGCTATTATTAATTGTGACAAGAGCTACGATCACCGTACGAAATACGACTGAGCAGGTTCCAGAGAAATTAAACGAGTACAATCTGCGTGAAATAGAATACGAGAGAAGAGAATTATAATTTTAATACGTGGCAGATAACGAGGTATGTGAATACATGCTCAGGGTTGCATTGAAATTTCGAACTCGAGCAAATTCCTTGCCCGGCTGATTAACATTCCTCCGATCAAATTATTCCACGCTACAGTGATCTCTACTTACCGTGTATGAAGTTATTATACACACTGCTTTAACAAGTGAAAAACTTGGTTACTCTTCGAACGAACTTCGCAACAGGAACGATCAGGAATGACTGACTGACTACAGCGGTTTGGACACCGGAATATTAACGAAGCGAATTCGTCGTGGCCTGCGTCGATTGGTCGAGAACCGTTCGTACCAGGGGAAAGATGAGGGACGATTGGTCGAGCCACATACAGTTGGCTGGTACCGATAGGCCCACGTCACAATGATACCGTTCTTCTGGAAAATTCGAGTAGGTGCAAATGCATCGTCGGAATTAATTTCTCTCGCTTGTTAAAATGAAAAAACGAATTATTATCTGTCTCGATCACAGTACTATCTGCGCCAGAGACATGCGAGATATTCCGCTTTTTTAATAAATAATCGCGTCAGTTTTCGGTGATTCTGATGCAACGTACGACACGCGTGCCGTGAAGCTTAACGGAATATCTATACGTTTAGTATGTTCTCCGATGTTTTCCGCTTTCCGATTACTCGCCTAAGTCATCATTATTTCCTGTTCTAGTTCAAACATTTGGTAAAAAAACTTGACACATATTCGTCGCACCAGATACCGCTTTAATTGTGAACAGACTATTACACTTAATCGTATCGAGAATGCTGCTAGTATTTACTTTTCGGATGTAACATGTCTAAGATCAAAGGTGTGAAGTACGTTATAATACAATCAGCACCCGCTCTCCTCATTGACAGAAGAACTTCCTTTAAGACGTTCTCCAAGTGTATCGCACCGTTTTGCGCACCATGATAGAGCATGGCATACTCCCCCGATACTTGATACACGAACATTGGATACTCTGGGTGAGCATCCTTCGTCTGCCTGACAACGTCCAGGTAAGGCAAGCCTGGTTTCACCATGAGCATATCAGCCCCCTCGGCTACGTCTCTGGCCTAACGAAAAATAGGGAATATCAATCGATCTTGATTCTTGAGAACGATATTTAAAAAGAGAAGATAGAACCGATGCTGACAGCTGCCCTAGCAGCCAACCCGTTGCTTCCGGGAGGTAATTGGTAACATTTCCTGTCGCCGAACTTGGGTGCCGATTGAGAGGCGTCTCTGAAGGGTCCGTAAAACCCCGATGCAAACTTCACGGCGTAAGATAAAACTGCGACCTTGTTCAGTAATCCGTTCGCTGCCAATTTTTCTTTTATCGCGCCTATCCTTCCATCCATCATATCGGAAGGAGCCAAGATCTGAGCACCTGCAGAAGGAAGTCAAAGATGTACAAATCGCTGTTGTCAGCTCGTACACATTTGGAACAGAGGACGATCATACCAGCCTTAGCGTAAGCAAGAGCGATCTCTGAAATTCGTTCGATGCTAGCTCTATTGTTCAAAGTACCATCGTCGTTTAAAACTCCACAATGCCCATGAATAGTGTAAGGGCACAAACAAACGTCGCATGCTATCAGTAACTCCGGGAACCATTGTCTTATTAATGGTACAGCTTGCATAATCGGATTTTCTGCACTGTCCGCGTTACTTCCAACGTAATCCTGTTGACGATCATATTTTATGAACGAACAGATACTAACTTCGCCTCGTAAGGAGGTTTACCTTTTTCAAGTGTTTTGATACTCCAAACAGAAGTATCGACTGCAGTCCTTTTGAGACCAATGGTTGTAACATTTTTCGCAAATGATCGACGCCGTACCGAAAGACACCTGGCATACTAGCAATTGTTTCCTTAGCATTGGCTTCATCTCTGGTTATCGTAAAAACGAAATCGTTAGTCGGCAATTGTATAAATCATTATTTTCAAATGCGCGCACACAGCCGCACACCAAAGAACTTATATAATGCATGCGGAACCAGTTTAAAAGAACTCGTCGATCTAACATTTTTGTCGATACTATTTATTACTCGCACAGTGTCGACAGGCGACAACGTGTGGGCCCACGTGCATGTACATAGACCTATAACATAACGAGCGTACAAGCGGTAGATTATGAATTGTACTTACGTGACGAAGATTGGGTACATAAGATTGTTCACTGTGATTTCCACGTTCGGCGATTGCCATTGTCTCAGAGTAGGATGAAAAATGCCGCTATGAAGGACATGTTCCGCTTTTACGTCTGTCATTCTGATCGTGTAAAATAGACTCGTTTATGTGTGGTTCGTGCGAACGTTGTGCCTCCCCAGCGACTAAACCTAGCCTGTACACCTGTGCCTTTTTCGTGCCCCGATTTCCCCTCCGGCCGCAGTTTCCTCGTTCTACTTTCACTATTTTCAATTTCTTTTATCTTAAACATCGTAAGATTCATTTGTTACTGACGCGCGATCTGATGCGCAAGTAACCATGATGCGGTCTGTACATTTTATACGGTCGTTTCTCATTTGCAAACCCGAAAAGAAATTATAGAAGCACGTTATTTATTTGGTCGGAAGTCTAGTTTATATTTTTCACAGCTAGACCGAATTTAACTGCATACTTACGTGTCGCTACTATTTTTCCGTGGACGAAGTTCTGGTTTAAATTGTAAATTGATCGTCAGCATGACAAGCCAAAAGATCAACGATTTCACGATTCCACAGAGGAATTTAATTTATATTGTCAAAAATATCTGTTTTGCCGGAACGTATTGGTTCGACCGTGTTGGATCGTTCACAGGCTAGTTATATAATAATTTGTGGTCATACGTGCAGTAAATACTATACAATTTCAATGCCATTATTTCAAGTTTCGTAATTACGCGCGCCATTGAAATGCCGATAGAGCAATTGTCGTTTAAAAGCCTATCGGTTAGATAGTGAAACTCGCTTTCGGGAAGTATTGAGTCGTCAACACTTATCGAACGGTATGTATAACGAGTACAGAATGACGCGAACCACTTCCAAATTTCATTTGCTCTAGAGTCCATGTTTATACATGTAACATCGCATGAAAAGGAGACGATGATTTTTCGTTGAAAAAATACGTGTATTGTAGTGACATATACAAAAACTACATAGTCGTACAGGAAGTAATCGGGTGTATACACTGCTCGAGTACAAACTCGTTGTCGTTCGTGTAAGGCTTTTCAAATAGTACCTGGTACGTGAACTTCAACAGTGGTCTCTGTAACCAGTTGCTCGGCAACGATAGAAATTGTCGATCCACGCCTCTCTTCGTTCATTATGTGTTCTGGAAGTAGTCAGTAATTAATCTAAGAATTCTGAGAATCAGATAGATCGAGGCTCGCAAGTATTCGGACTTGTTGAAAAAAAAATTATATTGCTCTAGGCAATATAAAAAAAATTACCCCATGGTAAAGGGGGTGCAAGCACTTTCGCGAGCCGCTGTACGTTCAGGAGCACTTTGAATCATACCTGCACATTCCTTATCACAATCTAACAATCTCTGTTTGTCATGAAACTGCTTCATGTTGAGTTCTATGAGTCTGGGTCCGAATATCCAATATCCCAGGCATCCTCCCAGCACAATAGCAACGTTTACGTATACGTTATACGTCATTACAGCTAACATTAAAAGGTAGCTCAGAAATGTGTGTATAGACCAGTGAAATACTTGGAAGCACCACGCAGGCCATCTTATACTGACAAAGTAACATGCAACATAAGTACGTCGGTCTGCGATTAAATTAAATTGCTCCTTCGATTACAAAGATGGATGTACCCCTCTATAGAAGCATTCGGCCCAATGGATCTCGTCAGTATTTTAGACAACAAACAGGAGCCCTCCGATACGCTTGTACTTTGCGGTACGGTGTTCTGTTTTAGTTTGATTTGTAAAATCTTCATGCTCTCGTACAGTATCGCGAGCGCGAACAGACCTAAGCAGGTACAGAAGAAGCTTGCTGTTGTAGTGACATAGTACCCTGGTAAAAGGAACTCGCCTAAATTACTTCCAAACCAAAACCACATGTGCATCTATAAAAAGACAAAGTGACATGCGAAAGAACTATTAAAAAAAATTAATTGCGTAAAGTTGTACGTACTGTAACACGTTTGTGTACGATTATTCCGTGGTACAACAAAATTGTGGTGGTTGAATTGATAAGGATCGCAATACGTGATACTGCATCGAGCCATAGTACCTAGCTTTACCCAATTCCTGATTAATGATACATCGTATACGTGTCTACACGCGCTATTTACAGTTACCTGATAAAGCAGCGAGGGTTCGTCTCATGTTTCATAAACATTCGCATAGTTTTCAATGTTTCCGTTACGACCTTATTTTTACGCATAACGCCGTAGCGGTAGCCTGCGATGCGACGATGATACGACAGTTCGAGAATACACGTACTCGTTGCGTATTTGGAGAAACTTAACTTTCGCAGCGTGTGTGTGCATCGTACTTAAGTCGAGCAATAACAGAACGTACGACAATTGCGACAATATAGAAAATGTGAGATCTACAGTGGTCAGTGAGCCCTTCACAGATTTTATATCGTTCAAAGTTGCTAGGAGACGGTGAGTCACGTGATCCTAAATGTAGCGTGAATCCTTTTTTTATAATGTGTAATCGTGCGTGATTGCGTGTGAGTGAGAGAAAGTGAAGAAAGTTTTTGTCAAAGTAAAAGTGAACCGAGAAACGAGACGCGATCCTCTTTTTAACAAAACTTGGCGCGAAGGCACAAGACGTCTCCGATCGGCACCGTCGTTCGTGGTCGTTCGTCGGATATATCATTGATCGTTCATTGGCCAACCAAACGCGTGAACGAGACCGTTTCTGAATGATTTTTAAAAATTGTCCGAGGATCATAATAATTGACGCGGACGTTTTTTGGATATGTTTTGAAATTGTGTCAGGTCCGTGTGAAAGACTAGAAGCGATCTGAATGGGAAAAATTTAAAAATAAGAGAGGAATTCAAGACATTCGTGAAAAGGGGCCGGAAGGTGGCGGATGGAGTAAAGTACGGCAGCGCTATCTGCGTCGTTGGGACGAGCAAGCGTGGCGAGCGTGGCTAATCAAAGCACCAAAAGGTAAGCCGTAAAAGGCTGTTTATTTTTGGGTTTTCGTTCGTCGTACGAGACTCTTTCTCGAGTAATGTGTCTCCTGGCTGTGTCGGACTGTACGCCGTGTTTGAAAATCAGTTGACGAAGCAGCAATGACCACGAAAACGTAGGTGAACCCGTCGGACGGACCCGTCGTAACGTCGAGCATCTTGTCCAGTAAAATGAAAACTCCGTTTGTACTCCCCTCGCTCTGAGCTCCCCATGGCTAGCCACTCGTCGGCGTTAGCGCCTTTCTCACCAATTGCCAAGCGTGCACCGAAAGCACGGCCGATCTACGTGCGTGTGCATAATATACAGACACGGAGATTCGGGAACTTTTTTGCGCACGTACCTTTACGCGTTGCATACACACACTTACACGCGAAACCCACGATAGCACCGAAACCTGCGCTCTTTTATCGTGGTGATCGGCTCTGCTCTTTAAGCTCCGATCCGCCACGGGAACATTTCTACCACGGTTTTTTATTCATAGGAAAATGAGCAGCTCCGAGGAGGTGTCTTGGATTTCGTGGTTCTGCAATCTTAGGGGTAATGAATTTTTCTGCGAGGTAAGTGAGCGTTCGTTGTTACGATACCTCTTCCATACCGTGCTTGTCCGTTTTAACCTGCATCACTATTTTGAGATCAAACGTTTCCCTGTTATCGGGCAATCGAACAACGTTTCGTCGTTGCGTAGGAACTCTCTCGTGTTTCTACGCGACCCCATACCATTGTATCGGTCGGTCGTCGTGAAATGTAGACTTTTCTTCATTGTTCTCTGTCCTCCGTGGTTTGCCGAGGCACAGCGAGACGGTCGTTCGTCGGACTTATTCGAGTAAACTTTTCCAGGTTGACGAGGACTACATTCAGGACAAATTTAATTTGACCGGATTGAATGAGCAAGTACCGCATTATAGGCAAGCGTTAGATATGATTCTTGACCTCGAACCTGGTAAATATATTGTTTGTGGCTTGCCAGAAAATATCAAAGTACTCTTAAGCGTATTTGTATTCCGTAGATGAGGAATTGGATGGCCATCAGAATCAGCCTGAACTTTTTGAACAAGCAGCAGAGCTACTGTACGGATTGATTCACGCGCGTTACATTCTCACTAACCGCGGCATTGCTCAAATGATAGAGAAATACCAAGCGGGAGATTTCGGTCACTGTCCGCGCGTATATTGCGAGGCACAGCCGATGCTGCCATTGGGTCTCAGCGACGTTCCTGGAGAAGCAATGGTAAAGAGTTATTGTCCCAAATGCATGGACGTTTACACTCCGAAAAGTTCCCGACATCATCACACCGACGGGGCTTATTTCGGAACCGGATTTCCCCACATGCTGTTCATGGTACATCCGGAGTACAGACCCAAACGTCCGATAAATCAATTTGTACCTAGGTAAGCGAAGATTCGTAAAGAGATACAGTGGCCGACCCGACGGCCGGCGGACAGGAGCAGCTCGTTTTAAATGAGAAACTTACGTTGTTCCAGGTTATACGGTTTTAAAATTCATCCTCTAGCATATCAGTTCCAACATCAATCTGCGTCTACGTTCAAAGCACCGCCGTTGCGATCTGTTACTGCTTACAACAATGGGAAACGTTAAGAACATTGCAACATAGTTTAGAACATTTTTTCATTACTCGAAATACAATTCCTAATTTCGTCCCTAAGAATTAAATGAGACATTATTTTTTATATCGATCTTTACACGTCTTGGCGAGGCGCTGAGATACCAATCGTTCTGTTCGATCGTTCGTTCACGAGATCAATTACGACGCTCCCGATGCTTCTCGGATTATTTTCCACGATAACTACGGCGGCGTACCGAAAAAATTTCGCGCGGGCGATGTACCAAACTGTTCACATTTACTCAGCGCCCTGCTCGTTTTTATTTCAGCTTTAGTAACAATTTCCTTTCACGTTTAAAATCGTTATTAACGTTAATCACGTTATCACATTAAGTCTGACTGATTGAAACGAAAAGGGGAGAGGGCAAAAGAAATGCGGTACACATTTAAGACGATCACCGACGCGTAACAGTGTCGGTGTTAATTACGATCGAGTTCCATCTCCTTGGACGGTCTGCGTTGTATTGTTGCCTAGCAATCGGCAATGTCCCAGATCAAAGGAGCAGCTAGCAGCGGATACAATTATTTGTTATTAAAAATATAATTTAATTTAATGCAAATTAATTGGACATGGATGGAACGTGGAAGCAACTTATTTATAAATGATTTATCTCAATTAAGCTCGGATAAACAGAATGTATGAGATAAGTTTGAAAGCGAAGACTGCGTACCATTCTTTAAAACCTGGTTTTGTACAACGGTTTGAAAGCATATTCGTACGACGTTTAGCAAGCAGAACCAGAGAATTCTAGACGCTTTCCGAGTATGGTATTTAATGTAAAAGCAGTGCATATTTTAATATAGGAGAAATACTAATACCATTGTTTCATTACTGACGACACCTAGAGCTGTTCGAAATTATTTGTATTGGAACAAACAAGTCACGCGTGTAACGTACTCCTGAATAGATTTTTTAAAACGAGTACTGTATTTAAACGGAATTAAAACTATTTAAAAGAAGATTGCGTTCGAAGTGATCGACGACAATACATCTCCTGTAAAGTTACGTGTTCGAAAAGTTTTAAATGAATTCTCTCTTCATCTATGGTGTAGATTAAAAGTCATTTCGTCGAATCGCGCGGAGAAAGGTCATGTGTTTACAATTTCTGTAAAACGTAGTTTAGTCAGGTACCAGCATTTCCGACATCCATTATCAGTAAATGAATTATACTTACTATTTACACGTATTGTTTTCTTAACAATCGTTCGTATCATACTGTTTCTTCACATATACATTGTGTATGTACATGTATACAATGTAAAACGCGAGTCATTTGTTATACTACTGCAATTGCACTGATGACGTGAACTATCAAGAAGGAGACATCGCTTTTATGTTAACTCATACATGTTGTATTAATTTAATAATAAAAGAAGTATGAGTGCAATTTTAAAAATGTAAAAACACCGATGCCACTTTGTGAAATATTCCTAGACGAATAGAAGTCGAGTTGCACGTCGCGTACTGCAACACTGTCGCCGTTCACCAATCGAGGGGCCTCCTTAGAATTTGAATTTAATGACGTAAGCGAAAACCAGTAAAATGGTACGAATCGAACAGTTCGGTAGATTCAGAATCGCAAAGTGTCAGTCGTACAGTTCGACAAGTTCATTGACGAATACAAACGTTTCCTTCGAAGCCTCTAATGATAACGTTTAATGTAATTTGCATCGCACGTTCACCGACACTCGGAAAGCTGATTCGTTACGTATCGTTGTTCGAGTAACTTTCGAAACTGTACTACGTACAACGATGCTTTCAAGCAACATAAACAGAGTCCGAACAATTGGAATCGTTTCAGTTCGTTCGATCCCTGAAAAACTCCGATAAGTTTTAAGTACACAGGAGACTTCGAAGTTTCTGAATATGTTTAGTAACGGTTATCGTTTGAATTCTAACATTATCCTAAAGTGACATTACATATCGCACTGTACATGGGTACGCATGTGGCACATGTTTACCTTTTTCTGTTGTTGCATCTGCGATCAGTGCGATTGAATCAGATTTGGCAATAATGTCAGATCTGTCAGGGAGCAGCAGGTCGATGTTAACCAACAATTCGCACGCCAGTTCACGTCCAAAGTTTCAACCGTTACGCGTGAAAGAACTGTTGGATTTTTGTGAGAGCGATGACGACGAGAGCGAAGATAAAACACAAGGTTCTGACAGTGAATCGGATTCCGATGATCCTCAACCGCTGCCACAAGACGACGACGTTCGAGCTCGAGGGAACGACAACGGTAGAGAACAAACTGTTGAGTTAGCAGGAATCTGTCGAGCTGGACGTACGATCGTCTCTCCGGACCATGGACAGCCTGTGTGTGTCAATGAAATGTGTAAACCGGGGAGTGGTGAGTTTTTCGAACAGAGCGAGAGACACACGAGCTGCGAACAATCTGTTCAGGTGCAATCGGATATTGAGAATCGTACGCAGGAGAAGATTTTTCAGCTAGAACAGAGGAGTAGACACGCCGACGATGTTAGAAGGCAATCGAGTCACGATCAAATGTATAATAATCAAGTTCAATCCGTAGATCAAACCTTTTATAGAAAGAGCAGCAGCAACGAGCCTGTCGCCTCTGCGCCGTCCGGAGTATGTCGCTTCCAAAATGCGAACTTGAAGAGAGAAGCATCAGAGTCGAAGGAGAACGAGGAGAAAGCACATGAGACCGTGTCTTCTACTAAATTTGATGCAGGGACATTTGTAAATCATGCCAGTCAATGGACATTACAAACTCCTATGAAATTTGCTCCGGTGAACCCTGTACATCCGGATCCTTGTTTCTCTCGCAGGAATATTGAACAGACGCCACGAAACAGATCATCGGATATACCTAAAAACCATGGGTTGACTCCATCTACAATTTTGTCTAATTGGACTCAAGGCGATTCAAAACAAACTCCGCTGCAGACTAGGAGTATTAACTTTAAGGATTCGATGCAAACTCCAAAAAATTGTAGTTATTTTACACCGACCGTAATGAGAACTGAGAAACCGATGTACTTGAGTACAGAAGTCAGGAAGCCTTTGGCAGACGCGGGATGTTTCACACAAAACAGTGTTCCTAATAGGCATTTATTCCAAGGATCTCAGATTTCGAACCGAGTTACAATGAAAAACGAAGTTACATCGAAAGATGAAAGTAAGACGTGTAAAAACATAATTAAAACAAGTTTGTCCAGGCAAATGCCAGAAACGTTGGAAAACGTGCACCTAGAGTCAGATGTCAATGATAGATTAAAAGAAAATAAACATTCGAATGTAGAGGGTACGATGGTAGATAAGAAAACGGTGAGAAACGCGTCCAACAGTCGATCCGTTGCTCATTCCATCGAAGAGAGCAGGGAAGCGTCGATGTCAGTGCACGATCGTCCGCAAAGTCAACGTCCGGAAGCTAGTAATCAAAGTCAGCAGGAAGAATTACAGAAGATTGTAAACAATGTGCCGCATGTACAATTTTCAACGCCGTCAAACATACCCAAATCGAGGCAGAGTAAAACCCTTTTTGTGAAAGGGAAAGAGTACTTGATTTTAGGTACGCTTGGCCAGGGCATGAGCGGCGAGGTTTTAAGAGTTCAAGACTTGTCTTCGCTCGAATTATGCGCCATCAAATGTGTCAATCTGAGTCGTATAGACAAGGAGTCGGCGCAAGGTTGCTTAGAAGAAATTTCCATGTTACATAAATTACAAGCACCGTGTGTCGTCAAAATGTTTGATTAGTAAGAAATGATTTTAGTAACGATTATGTATGCGCGCTCGTACGCACAATGTTCACATCCGACTCTTTTCGTTTCAGCGAGATCAATTATCCTATGGTCTACGTAGTAATGGAAATGGGAGACACCGATCTCAGTCGTCTTTTGAGAACGATGTTGCAAGAGAAGCAAATTCCTCTTACAATGATACTGTATTATTGGACAGAAATGTTAACAGCTGTTAAGCACATACACGATAACGGTAAACGTTTTAACGCGTCGAAATCGTCTGTTTGTTAGCGGCGATGTCTATATGTGCAAGTGTAAATTTGACGTGTATCATCTTTCAGGAGTAATTCATTCAGACCTGAAACCTGCTAATTTCTTGTTAGTACGAGGACGACTGAAACTTATAGATTTTGGTATTGCTTCTAGTATGAACGCCGATATGACGTCCGTCGTGAAAAACTGTCCGATTGGGACTTTAAATTATATTAGCCCAGAAGCTCTGATGGACACCGGCGGGGGTGCTGATTCTCCCACGCAGGACGTCAAATACAAAGTACGGCGACGTAGACTTTCTAGACAAATTTCTATTGAGAATTGAGGAGCGAGAAAACGAGGAGTCGATATAAACGTGCTGGCTTTCAGATAAGTTTCAAGTCGGACGTGTGGTCGTTAGGATGTATTCTGTACAGTTTGGTATACGGCCGCACCCCGTTTCATCATATTCGTTCGCAATGGGCCAAAGTGAACGCGATAACTAACCCGAAATTGAACATTTCTTTCCCTACGACTTTGCCCTCGGGGAACGGTAACAAAGTCATCCCCTCGCCACCGATTTTAATCGACGTGATGCGTAAGTGCCTTCAGCATGACCCAAAAGCGCGGCCGACGGTGGCCGAGCTTTTGCAAGTAGAGTACATTCCTACTACGCAGGAGCACATCTCGAGACCTCCTGAGATACCAGCGAATATTTTGATAAAAATAAAGAATGTACTGAATGATGAGGAATGGCGACAATTAACACGGGTTCGTATTTTTAACTCTTGTGTATATTATAAAAAAAATAGTCTTATATATACACACACACACACACACATATATATATAT